TATTTCTTTATTCATATAGAACTGGGGTACAGGCCAGAGGTGCAGGGGTGGTGAGAGGATTCACCAGAGACAGAGTGGGGAGCAGAACAGGCCGAATGATGAAGTACACTGCTGAAGGGAGCAGCAGGCAGATCAGGGGAGGTCTGCCGCGCAGGGATGGAACTCATGCTGCAGTGTCTTTAGCTTTTTAGTGCTGTGCCTTAACCCGCTGCACCACCAAGGAGGGCCCAATTACTGTTATTTCTTAAAAGAATAAAACATGTAGGCAGCTCTCCTGCCTGCCCTTGACTTTGCAGGTGAATATTTCATGGAGAAAGAGAGGGAGATAAATTGGTAAATGCATCCTACCATTTCCACTGACCTGGAATCCCTAGGGCAAGCAGAGAGCCGGCAAAAATAAGTGTCAAGCCAAGAGGCCAAGAGCCAAGAGCCCCAAAAGCTAAGAGAGCAGGAGCCCCCCAAGACCCACATGACTGGTTTTTATACCAAACCTGGCTGCCTAAATCCACCCTCAGATCCCAGCATCCTCCTTTCAGGGTGATGGGATTTATAATTCCCTGTGTCTTGATCCAGAGTGGGGGTGGGGCCCACCTGTGTGGAGCTTGTTGAGGGTGTCCCAGTTTGTTTCTGACTCAAGGGTCTGTTCAGGATTCTAGTCATGTGTCTGGAGAGCTTCACTCATAGCTACCAAATTTTGATAAATATAATTTTTCTTTTCTTGCCTTTGATAAATATAAAGGAGGGGCCATCGTGTTTTTTTCCTGCAAAAATAAGAGTTCTTGATGCATTAATTGCCCACCAATAGTCTAATTAACATTCCCTCCAGTGCAGTCTCCAGGCATGATGCCAAAGGAATAGTGTTTTTTTAGCAAAGCAACAGTCTTACACCTTTACTATTCTGTACTTTTCAATTGTGATTTAAAACATATTTTACTTTTTTCTTTTCTAGTGCTTAAGAGTTCTGAAGAAGGCTCCGTATGGAAGTAAGACTTAAGGATTTTTTAAAAATGATGTTAAGTATGGGTATGCAGAGAAAATGAACTAACGTTTGTTGAGCGTTTTCAGTGGACTAGACACTATATTATGTGCTTAACCCTTGTCACCTCCTATCTTGATCGCAGTGGTTTGACAAAGAGACTGTGCTCCACAGCCTGCGCTTTACTGATTAGCAGCTGTGGTTCAGGAAGGCTGACGAGTTGGCCCATGACACTGTTGTTAACAAGGTTACTGACCATGAATTCACCGTCTGTGTCCCTGGCTCCAAAGTCCATCCTTTTGCCCCTCAGCACAGATCGAGCAGTAAAGAGACATGCAAAGGAGATCAACACAGAAAGTTCCGTGTAGTCACATGGTAACTTTGGGTTTGTGTTTTCCTAAGAAGACTGGTAGTCTGAGCATTTGTGGCAATAATATGGACAATAGCCGTGGTGACGAATGTCTTGTTCTACCCTAAACACCTTGGGGCAGATCTCAGCTATTGATGGCCAGGGAAGTAGAGGGCTCCTGTAAGTAGTACCTAATCAGGCAGTTCTTAGGTTTAATGAAATCTCCCGCCCCTGTTTTTCTATAAGTGAAGAAGACCTCTGGTCTATGCAGGGCCTACGTATTAATCATGTTCTGATAGTTGAAGTCAGCACCTACTTAGTTATTTCTGTAGGTGACCTTCCATCCTCATTTCTCCTTAGACGAGTACCCTTAGCTAGTTCGAAGTTCTGCTAGTAGGCTAGAGATGACTGAGCGACGTGTCAGTCACCCAAGGCTGGTGTCTCTTCATCATCTCCCTGTTTCCCCATGAAGCTGGCAGAGGAAGGATCGACTGTCATGTCAGTCATGGAGCTTCCGTACGGTGCTTGGCAACAGCTGACGTTGGGAGTGGGTGGTTAAGGTCCATTAACCTATTTTCCAGAAGTAGGGAATCAGAGTTCCTACTCCTGGACATCCTTGTTTCTGTGACCTGTTTTTTCATAGATTAAAGATTTCAAGGCTGCAAACTTTGTAGACTTTGTGTTGTAGAAGAGTGATCTTGGAGTGGGGCCCCATGGAGGAAGATTAGCCATTACACAGGGAAACAGCCACACCCACGGCACTCTGCTTTCAGAATCAGCTCCCTCTCTGGGTTCCTGTGGGCCTGTAAATGTGCTTTATGTCTTGCTAGGTAGCCCTGAGTAAAGCAGGGCTTAAATAGGAAGCCTAGTTAGGCTTTCTAATTTTGAATGTTTTAATTTCTCTGGGATTAGTAATTGTTCTTTCACTTTTGTAGATTTAACTTTCCAACGTTTCAGGAAACTCCCTGTACAACTTTAGGAGCAGAAGGAAACAATGAGGAGCTTTTTTTTTTTTTTTTAATTTATTTTATTTATTTTATTTATTTTATTACAAAGTTTATTTTTACATCATTTTGCACATTTTTTTTTTGCCATCTCGATTGTAATCCCCGCGGGTTTCCCATCACCAGATCACCCCTGTGCCACCACCCTAGTCCCATGCATTTCCCTCCCTCCCCCCCCCGTTTTTGATCCCATTCCCCACTAATGAGGAGCTTTTTTAAAGATTGATTTATTTATGCATACAGAACTGGTGTACAGGCCAGAGGTGCAGGGGCAGTGAGAGGATTCACCAGAGACAGAGTGGGGAGCAGAACAGAACAGGATTCACCAGAGACAGAGTGGGGAGCAGAACAGAACAGGCCGACTGACGAAGTACACTGCTGAGGGGAGCAGCAGGCAGGTCAGGAAAAGTCTGCCACACCATGTGGGTCACCTCTGGGATGGGGATCGAACTCATGCTGCAGTAGCTTTCACTTCTTAGTGCTGTGCTTTAACCCACTGTGCCACCAGGGAGGTCCCACAATGAGGACTTTTTAAGAACAGGTTTCCATGCTGGAGAGCCTAGGCTGGCATTTTTGACTGACACAGAGTAGTCTGACTCAGGGGCAGGGGGTGGAGAAGGAACTATGTATCTTTCTACTTTGTTTCAAGCTATAAGGTTTGTTCCAGTTCAGGTAACTAAAGTTAATTTACCCATTAATTGGATTTTCAGGACTTAGGGTGAAAATTCATAATTGCCAAATGCTAGTGATATATGGCTGTCAATTTTTGTTATAGGCACTAAGAGTTCCTCTTATTGAATATTTCATAGGTTGGGAGAGGTAGAAACAGAAATTGAAAGCTCTTTTAAATTAGAGGCCAAATTTTAATTTTGTCAAGAAACTTTATTCTTAATATATATAGCTGACATTTCATTTGAGTTTTGAAATGTAGAAATGAAACAATTCATTTGTGTGTGTGTTTTATCTCTAAAGTCTCTCCAGCAAGTTTAGCATAGATGATTCTCACCCCATATCAAATGATGACCACATGAGTTTTGAAATCCAGGTAAAGTGTCCTTATGAAATTAATTTTCCTGTGCAGAATTTAGTTTCAATTTAGTAGTTTCTGTGCTTTTCATTCATGTGTCACTGTTCCACCCTTTTTCTTTTCCTCAATCATTTGTCTTTAGTTTTTGATAAGCAGAATAGAATCAATTCATACTATTTGAATTCATCTAAATTAGATTCTACTAAACACTAAATGTCCTTGTTTTCCCCTACAAGAGGTAAGTCATGCAAACACATTTCAAAATATAATAATGAGTTCAATTTTTTTTTTGAGTTCAAATTTTTTAATATTAGTTTTTTCATTTAAATTACCCATGAGTGATTTTCTTACTTTAGATGCTATTTTTGAGTTAAGAGGAATTTTCTTCCCAAGGGCTCCTAAGGTTGTTCCAAATGTAAATTAAGTGTCCTTTCAGAGAGTTGCAAATTGAGACAAAAACACATCAACAAAGTAAGATACTTGTGATGTTAACGTTAACGGGGTAATTTCCAGGGGAAGGGGAGGTTCCAGATTCTCTGTCCAGCCCTAAGGGTGGGGACAGACAGGTGCTGAAACCAGAAAAGACCAGTGGCACACCAGTTACAGTGCAGCTCTCCTCAGCTCAGAATATAGGTAAAATAATTTCCAACAAAACAACCCAAAGTTACTATCCCCTCTTGGGAAAATGCCCAGCCAGACTGGGTTGGCCCAAATCAGGGCCACAGAGGCCACAGAGTTGCCCCTCTTGTAAGGCACCTCCTGGTGGGACCCACAGGAAAGGGGCAGAAAAGCCGGGCAGGTCTGGGAGGATAAGAGCAAAATCAAAATCAAGATAAAGGGGGCCAGTGTCAGCCTTCCCATGGGTTTCTCACCTGCATCTGTTCCAGGCATCTCCCTCCATGTCCCCCAAGCCCCTGGTACAAGTCCAAGGCCAAGAAATAAGTCCAGATTCTCCATATGTCTGTCTTTTTTTTAAAAAAAGATTTATTTATGCATACA